GTTAAAAGCATTTGCAAAAGACTTCTTGAAAAGACTCTAAGAACTTCCTAGACTTGGTTCTTGACTTTCCTTGAATTTGAATTTATGGATTCAAGGTTATGATTCATGTTTATGAATGATTTCTAGATGTTTAGAAGTCATTTTGAGTAGTTAGGATCAATGGAAAGTATTAAGACACTTTAGAATAGCTTAATAGGCTAAACAATGAAAAACTAGTGAAAAACGCCGATCCGGGCGTGTCCCTGGCGCACCGCGCCAGGCCCCAACTTACTGGGGCTCATTTTGAGCGCACTACAGGCACGCCGCCCCTGCCTCCTGGAGCTATGGGGGCGCGTCGCGCGACCAGTTCCTCAGGCAAATTTCTGATGAACTTTCGGTCTTGTTTTCTGATCCTAAATCGTTTTAATCCGATTCTTTTTCCCAAATTCACTTTAGATTCATGTACCCAAATCATATACACAAACTCTAACCCAAACAACTCCAGGAAACAACACTTAATCATCAAGAAACCCCTTAATCCCAACTCATATTCAAGAACGAAATCAATTCAAGAACAACTATCAAGAACATCAATTTCGAACAACCCAACTTTCAACGGGCATAACTCACTCAGAAGAAGTCAGAATCGTGCAAACTCAGCGGCGTTAGAAAGATCATTCCAAGGGCTTTCCAATCATATCTGGAACTACACCTAACTCATCTTGAGCTAGGAGTTATGGCCGTTTGAAGTTGACCAAAAACTCACTTTTCCTAACTTAGACAATTCTCTAGATTTTTTTATTATTTCCAAAAATGACTATTTCCAAATTCTTAACTTCTTCCTAGTTAATTCGATTTTGCAAGATGTTACAATATCTCCCCCTTGGGAACATTCGTCCTCGAATGAGATTTCTCTTACTAGGCTAAGGGTGTAATATCTAATCTTCAGCTCAACACCCAACAATCAATGCAAACACACATCCAAGCTCATAAAGTAAAGAGTACTAAGAAGAACATTAATGCCTTGATTCGGAACTTTTTCGGATTCGAAGAGATGTGGATATCTCTTCTTCATATCCTCCTCAGCTTCCCAAGTAGCTTCTTCAACAAGTTGGCTCCTCCAAAGGACCTTGACTGATGCTACTTCTTAGTCCTCAACTTGCAAACTTGACGATCTAGAATCTGAACATGGATCTCTTCATAAGATAAGCATTCCTTGATCCCAATATCTTCAATTGGTACAATAAGTGAAGTATCTCCCATGCACTTCTTCAACATGGAGACATGAATTACCGGATGAACTGCTGCTAATTCTTGTGGTAGCTCCAACTCATAAGCTACATTACCTACCCCATTCGATATTCTGTAAGGGCCAATATACCGGGGACTAAGCTTCCCTTTCTTACCAAATCTCATGGCACCCTTCATGGGTGAAACTTTCAAGTATACTCAACCCTCTACTTCAACTCTAACTCCCTTCTCCTAACATAGTGTAGGATTTCTAATGACTCAGCGCTATTTTCATTCTCTCTTGAATCAACTTCACCTTCTTCAAAGCTTGTTG